GTTAGAATTGAACCAGCCGTACATGAGTGGGTTGGCAACTGAAGACGACATTGCGATGAGCAGACCAATGGCGTGCAACAGGTTGTATCTCTGTTCTTTGAATACCTGGACACGTACCATGCGTAGAGAAGAGAATTAATGGAACGAGGTGAAAGTGGTTGGGGTAGAGATGGAAGGGGTCATTAATCTTTTGTTGCTGTTGTTGTTGTGGTTGGATTTTTTTGGTTGGTTGGTTGGTTGGTTGGTTGGTTGGTTGGTTGGTTGGTTGGTTGGTTGGTTGGTTGGTTGGTTGGTTGGTTGGTTGGTTGGTTGAGTTGAATCATCCTTGCTATAATAAGACAGTAAATTAATTCAAGATTCAATGGAGAGGAACACTGGTGGGTGGACGTGTGGGTTGTTGACAGATTGACGAAAGGATAAAGGAAACAGATTATACACTTAAGCGTTTGATCACTGACGTTATTCATAAACATCGCCAACAGAAACTGTTCCTCGTGAGTCCTGTAGTCAGACTGTCTCAGGAATTCATCCCTTTTACACCAGTTTGCGCTATATCAGCTCACTCTTGGGCCAGGTCAAGAATGAGATCTATTTTACTAGGTAGAAATCTGGCCAAATAACGATTATAGTTGTGAGCTGGTCAAGGAATGTGAGAAAAATTCAATTCTACCAAATACAGCTAGGCTCCCTATTTGGTCGGTATTAAGGACAAGGGAGCTATCCCGAAAAATGCTGTTTTGAGAAAATCGAAGGAAAAGTTTTTGGGTCCTTGTTCAGTCTCTTTAAAATACAAGGAGAGCTGTCTCTACAACCAAAGACATATATACACACCAATGAAACCAAACTTCTCCTATAGGTAGGGCAAATTACACTTTTGGTGTTGGTCAAAATTTCAGGAAACCCACAAAATCTGTGTTAGCCCACTTGTCCTTAAGAGTGACCAATTTTGAGAATGCTTTTTCCAACTAGCGCTTCATTTTTATACTAGGCTTTTGAATTATCCCATTTTTAAGAAAGGGGAGGGTGCGGGGAGGATGACTTATTTAACCACACAATATACACTTTCGAGGGTAACTTCAAAGTGGCGAAGAAATCGATTTCTAACTCAGCTGCAAAATTATATAGAACCTAAACATTTAGCCTGCTCAAAGTCCTACTTCCACTTCTCCGTGGTGAGCAGGGGGAAACATGATAATAGACACTGAAGACCTTTTGAATTACAAATTAAATCTCGTAATACATTCAAGAGACTGCAATTGGCAAACTGAAGAGACAAAGTGAAAAACTGATTTCATAATTAAAGGGAGAAATTGGGTAACACAACTGGTCCATATAGGTCCCCATCTTTTACTGGCTCCTTCAAAAGGAACTTTCTTGTCATTGTCCCAAAAGGAACTATGTAGCTATTGTCCCAAAAGGAACTTTGTAGCGATTGTCTCCAAGAAGCTTTGTAGTCATTGGTCCAAAAGGAACTAAGTAGCCATTGTCCCAAAGAAGCTTTGTAGTCATTGGTCCAAAAGGAACTTTCTCCGTCTTTCACAGAGCTAACAAAGTGGAGATAGGAATTCTGTCCCTCTCTCACAGTGAAGACAAAGTGGAGATCGTGGAAAGACCACCAGGTGGGCGAGACGACGAAAGCGAAGACGATGATGACGATAGTGACACAGACGAGGATCCCCTCTGAGGTGACGTGATACCTCCTTCCACGTCGGCACCCTTCGTATCGTCACCACTGTGCCTCTTCAAGGTACAGTGGAGGAAGCGGGATAGGGGTGGGGTGGGTCGGGAGGTGGGACAAGGGAGGGAGTGGGAGATAGGGAGGAAGCGGGATAGGGGTGGAGTGGGGTGTAATGGTTGCGGGACAGTGGAGGGGATGGGAGATGGGGGGAGGTGGGAGATGGGAGGAGGTAGGGGTGGGTGTGGAGGTGGGAGAGGGGGGGGAGGTTGGGGAGGGAAGGATTGGAGGATGGAGAAGGGAAGGAAGAGAGGTGGGGGAGGGGGGTTGGGCGGACAGAGACGTGGATGGATGTTCTGTGTTTTTCTGAAGATGTTGAATGCGCCCTCGCCTACCCTCTATCCTTTTCTTTTTTTCCCTTTCTCTTATTTCCCACCTTTTCCCATCCTTCGCCACCCTGCTCTATGGTGTGTTTTGTCAGGCTATCTGCCGACCTGTTGCACATATATATATGTGTGTGTGTGTGTGTGTGTGTGTGTGTGTGTGTGTGTGTGTGTGTGTGTATGTGTGTGTGAGAGAGTGTCAATATGTGTTTTGGGTGTAGATATGTTTATGAATATGTATTGTGTGTTTGGGGTGGGTGGGTGTAGGTGTACATGTGTGTGTGTGTGTGGACGTGTGTGTATGTGTCGATGAATGTGTACGTGTATGTGCATGTGTGTGTATGTATACATATGAGTGTGTTTGTGTGTGCGTGTGTGTGTGTGTGTGTGTGTGTGTGTGTGTGTGTGTGTGTGTGTGTGTGTGTGTGTGTGTGTGTGTGTGGGTGTGTGGGTGTGTGTTTGTGCATAGTGTGTGTATGATAGAGGATACGGGGAAAGGGACCATAAATGTAAGTGTAAGTATTGAGCTTACAGGAGAATAAAGAATGCAGTTATTCTAAAGGCACACACCTTCCCACAACAACTATTTCCCTAATACGTCGATTTATATAGTGTGGCATTCCGCTACTTTAGAATTAAAAAGTTCTATCTCACATTTTGGTCAATCTGAGAAATTTAGACCATGAGGTCAGAAACCAAACGTTCTATTTGCTCTACCAAAGCCATACGATTATTCGTAGTGGTTATCAAGATATTTTTAATGCATTTAAAAAAGCATGACATTTTGTAAACCTCCATGATTTCATGTCAAATTTTTCAAAACTATCTATTGAACAGATATAACTTTGTAAGAGTAGGGTATCAAACTTTTCAAATAAAAAACAAGTATGCTGCTTCATATATCAATTATGTTTATCATTTATACCTTAAATCAATTTGTTAGAATCTAGATCAATTTATTAGATAAGATCACAGGGGATTCTACTTTTTGTCGCTACCTCAGCATTACAAAGTTCTATCTGTTCAGTACCTAGTTTTGGGAAATTTGACGTGAAGAATTCTGAGTTTCACATCATTTTTGTCATGCTTTTTCGATCTGAATATCTTGATAACGACTCCGAATCATCTTACGTGATTGATAGAACGTGTAGAACAATTGTGAGGCAGCGGGGTGGAATCAGGCTCTCGTCAATTTTTGGGCATGTTGAATTATTGGTATCATCTTAAAGCCTGTTCTCTTGTCTTTATTTGGATGGGGAAAAATATCCATTTATCTTGAGATATTTGCAAAAGAAGGAGGTGGGGTCACCTGTTTTCAGAGGTGAAATTAGTGAGAAAATGGCCGCCAAAGATTTGTTATTTCCTTAGCTTAAGAGTCCGTGGTAACTGAAAATTTACATTTTTTGTGCCTTTAATCAGCGTTTTTCAGAAAAATCCAAACAGAAATGAGTTCTTTAATGGGGATGAAAGGCATTGAGCCAAAAAACAAAAATTTGATAAAAATTCGCAAACCGGCAGAAAAATGCAAGTTTCTTCACTTTGATTATTTTGACGAGAGCCTGATTCCTCCACGCTGCCTCACAATTGGTTTCTGACCTCATGATCTTAGTAACTCAAAACAGCCAAAATGCAGATATAGCTTTGTAATTTTGAGGTAGAGGTTTATTAATCAACAAAAGAGTGACTCTCATAAAAACCTATGGACGCTTATGGAGTCCGTGACAAGGTATATTACTAGGACAGCACTGACTGTTCACTGTACTGTAATCTATAAAGGCGACATATCTCTGACACAGTAAGGCCAGGCCACGTGTCCATCATAGCAGAAACGACTTAATCTTTTTCCGGAGGATGCAAAATTCGAACTGTTCGTTTCCGGGATGCGCGAACAGGTCAAAGTTAAGGAGCACAAAGCTTAAGGAATAGTAAAATTGCAAATATGCTTTTGAAAGGAGGCTTACTCTTATTTTTAGGGGCTGATTAAGAATAATGAGTTTTCATCGCTACTTAGGTAAATGTTTTGTTCCAACGCTTGATAGACCTATGGCTCATTAGTCGCCACACGACTTGACGAAAATGTCGCATACAGCGTTCAAACCGACCCGTCTATTGTCTGAAGATGTCGTGTCGTTTTCGTGGACTCATTGAAATGGAAGTGTCTCTGGTTGCTAAGGTAAAAAGCGGAGCTTTATTTTAACTACCGATTTGCTGACAAACGGACGAACTTTTGGTCGGTTGCTTTCTGGTCTGGTGGACACACGAGCTAACTGTTCATACAGATCATCGCGCTTGCGTTTTGATTTATTCCTGTCTCGTCTCTTACTTGTCCTTACTTATCCACTGTGTTGGGGTCACTGCAGTCGGTACATGTCTCGTCTCGCGTTCTTGCAGTCTCGTGTTATGATCGTTTTGCATTGGCCTTCCAAAAATTATATACCTTTTTTTTTGCGTGTTCACCGTTTCGTATTTGCATTGTTTTTCGTTCGGGCAGTTTTTGTCTTGGTTTTAATGTGTTTTCAAGTTGGTATGGCATTCTGCTAGTGTACCGAGGCTTTGCATTAAAGTAGTGCCGTTTCGCCCTGAAGTCGTTTCACGTTTATAATACGAATTCGTGTCGATACGGTTTTGTGTTGATGTGGCATGGGGTTGGTGTCGTTTTACGTCCGTGTTGTTTCGCTTTTGTGTGTCTTGGCGTGCTGCCGTTTTTCATATGTGTCATTTTATGCTTGTGTCATTTCGTGCTGGTGTGGTACCATAATAATTATAAGCTTATAATCCCTGTGCGTTGAGGTTACATCGCGTTTGATGTTGTTTCGCCTTGTGTCGTTTCGAGTCTGGTGTCAATCAGCTGTGCTGTAATTTCACATCGGTGTCGTTTCGCAAAGGCTGACGTCGCTAGCTTCGCCTCGGTGTGAAAGATAAATAACAATCGACTCCCAGATTGTTTGTTTTGCGTGGGTGTGAAGGGTTTATGGTTTCGCGTTGGTGTAAAGTGTAGTTTGACATAAGACTCCTGCAATCATCGTCTAGCTTTGGAGTGAAGGGTTTGTGTTTTTGCGTTGCTGTGAAGTGCGTTTAACAAACGACACCCCCCCCCCCCAATCCCCGAACTTACCGGACCCAGACATAGCAGAGGTACCACCAGGACGTGTGTGCAGCATCCGGACAGGAACACGTAGTAGGTCCAGTCGAGTTGCCAGCTGGGTTGCCACTGGTCCGCGTCAGGGAACACAACGTTCACGGGGTAGAAAATGATCACCAGGATGCCCAGGAAGCCTGCATATTATTGTGTCCAGAAGATTAGCTATTGAATGTTCAGATCACTGGGAAATAGACATTTTGGAGGTTTTTTTCTGTTGCTGTTACTTTGTTTTTTGTTTTGTTTTGTTTTTTAATTAAATGTTTCCTGGAAGGGGGAAAAGAGAGGCAGGTGTTTTGCTTTGGGTTTTTTAGGGGG